AAATTGAAGGGCTGTTTCAGTGTGTGGACTGCATTAGGCATCTTTGGTTAAAAATAGTACACATTTAGACCAGTCACACCATGTGCACCACTCTTCATTTTTAACACTTTCTTGGCAGTAGGGTCACTGTAGATTGAAGGCATGTTTTGTTTGTACTTGTAAGTCATATTTTATGCATCTGTGTACCAGGAGTCACCAACATGGTGGCCTAGGAGATCATACGAGTACGCAACAGAGCTGTTCCAAAATTAAATACATTTTTTAACTTTAAGTGACATAGTTAAAAGTAAACTATGTGCATCAATTTCGTAGCCCTTTGTATCACCTAGTAGGTATGAAGTAGCTCTCAGTTGCAAAAAGGTTGGTGACACTTACTTTAGAAAATCTTACTGGGTATATCAGAGGTCTCTGAGCAGCCCTGAGTGAACTATCAAATACAGTCAAACAAACAAACATAATTTAAATCTCAAATATTAATTAGATGTTCTGAAAGTTTGCATTTCACTCAGACAGAGATTTTAAAAAGCTGAAATTGTGTCTGGCCATCTGTTCGCTTGTCAGATCAATTTTATTTAGTTCTTTATGTTTCTGAAGAGTTACATAAAGTTTTCTCTTTTTTCACAGAATAGACTGTCAGGGGAGTGGGTGCATGTTTGGTTTGTAAAGGAAGGGATGGACATGGAGGACCCTCTCCCATGTCCCAATTTATACGAGAACCGCCACTGGTCATTAGAATAAGTACATTAGGGGGGATACAATTGTCTTCACTTGTCAAAACTTTTTGCCTAAGTTTATGTTCTTAAGTCTAACAAAAATGGCTTAAAGTATAAAGTTTTTTTTTTACTTTCAAGTGTTTGGTAACTTCTTTTTTGAGGTGAGAAATAAAAGCAACCCTCTCATCCCCATCCTACCTGCAGGAGCTGGAGTCAGTTTCCGGGTGGTTGTTCTCCTCGGTCCCCGCCGCTCCCGCCGCCGGCTCCACCTCATTCTCAGCCCCAGCGGGAGCCGAAGCCTCAACTACCAGCTGGGGCACCGGGGCCTCGCCGGGGGGCTCCATGTTTGTCACCGGACGAGCGCGGCGACGAGGCGGTGGAGAAATCCAGGAGAGCGCCGCGGCGGAGCTTCTGCACTCTGGCTGGCTGAGGGAGCGGGTACAGGAGTTCCCCGTGGCTCCAGAAGCTCCAGCCGGACCTCCCCGACTCCCCGCTGGATCAGCAAACTTTCTACCGCTGCCGTTACAAAGGTTAGACCCGGCGCTCCCACTGGCCACCAGCCCGCTGTGACAGCCCACGCTCGGGTTAACGCCGGATGATTTTAAGTTGCTGCAGCCGCTAATAGAGGGACCGTCCGCTGCGCTGCCTCCGGTTCTCCTCGCGCTGAAGTAGTCTCCGAGTGGCGGGGAAGGAGGCGGAGGAACCGCGGGGTGACCGAACCACCTCCATCGGATCCGGAGGATCTGTTTCACATCGAACTCCTTCCGCGAGGAAGAGCCCGAGCCACTGTTCGACATTCCAGGGCTCGGCTCGAGGAAATGGCGGGGACGATCCCGTGCCGCTTTACCGTAAAAGCTGCACGCTGCTCTTCACGCGCGTCTCTCTTGGCAACCGCACGCCCGTTAACCGCGACTGAAGGGAGCGAGCTGAGAGTGGAGTGTAAAGAAGCAGACAGAGGAGAGAGAGTGACGGAGCTCTACGCGGAGGTTCCTCCACATCTCACAATTACACATTTCCAAAGTTCTCAGTATGCATCTTATCTCCATATCTCAATCTTTTTCTGACAGTTTTAGTGAATAACTGACAAAAGTTCACCTTGGATTTAAGGCATATATTTATCAAATGTTTGGTGTAAAATGTTGAACCTACAGAAGGATGGATTGGATAAACACATTTAGAGAATGAGATATTTTATACATTCTGTAAATACATTTGCCCCCATATTATATTCTCCTTTTCATTCATTTCCATACCTGAAGAGTTGGCAACTCGGATGAATGCACAATATTAATTTGCACCAGTTAATGTTCTGAAGATGATTGTCACCATCTGTGACAAAAGCCATCGTGGATTTCTGGAGTCAAACTGTGGCTCAGGTGTGCAAAGTTGAGCCCCTTCCACCTCAGTTGCAGATATTGAAATCTGTCAAAAGTCACTTATCTGCCATGGTGTTTGCCAACGACAGCTGAACTGCTCAATTCTTGAAGCTCTCTTATGCTACCAACCCAAAATACACACTGTAAAAAACAGGGATGTTTCAGTTCTGTTTACTATTTTATTCATCTTGACAAAAAAAGTCTATTTGGAGAAAACTAATATCAGAGCATGATGCTGAAACATGTTCACTGTGCATATATTCATCTGGTGATATTCAGTGTTGTGTTCGTGCCAGAGTTACCTTTTTGTTTTGGAAGATTTTAGCCACATTTTATTAGGAAGTAAAAGGTTCTGTCTTGAACTCGTCAGTAACACTTTATTTGAAGGGGGGTGAATAAGACTGTCATGACACTTTCATAAACATGACATAACACCTGTCATGAACATGAATAAGCCTTCATGAATATTTATGACTGTTGTCATAAAGCGTCATTCGGTAAATTATGACACTTTAAATACAAAGTTGACATTATTCAAAATGTCTTTGTTATGACAACTTGACATTAACCAAGAAATCACTACTGTTTAAACTTTACCTTTAATAACATAAAGTTACCTAATTTTTAAAGGGCAATCAGTAATACTTTTATAACAAATTTATATCAGTAATGATTTCTTGGTCAATGTCAAGTTGTCATAACAAAGACATTTTGAATAATGTCAACTTTGTATTAAAAGTGTCATAATTTACCGAATAACGCTTTATGACAACAGTCATAAATATTCATGAAGGCTTATTCATGTTCATGATAGGTATTATGTCATGTTTATGACGGTGTCATGACAGTCTTATTCACCCCCCTTCAAATAAAGTGTAACCAACTCGTCTCCTCTGATCAGTCATATGAAGAATGCATGGAGACTATTGTCACATCACATTCTGTACTAACCAGAAGTTTTTTTTAGCCCCTTCAGTGTTACTGCCAGCCACTTGGCATCCTTCCTGGGGAGTTTCCATCTTGTCTTTTTATGAGTAACGGAGAAACATAATTCAAAATGTTTTCCAATCAAAGTTGAATGTCTTAACTGTGACAAGATATACATACAATGAGGTGGATTGTTTAGCACCCCTCTCCTTATTGATCCATTTGTAGAATGAGATAATTTTCACATTTAGTAGCTTCTCTGGAAACTATGGGTTTAGGATGAATTGGTAAAAAAATATATATTCTACTCTAAAGGTTTTTACTCATTAGGGCTGAATGTATTTGAATCAAATGGTTCTCCAACAGTGTATTAGTAAAAAGGGGTTAATTTAGCTAATCTTTTAGTTATCAAAAACACAAGATATATTTAATGTGGAAAAAGTTCTGAAATGATTAATCTTTCTCAGTATAATAACATTATTATGCTATGTCAATAATTTTATCAAAAACTCGTAAATGTAAAGAGCTGAAGGATGCGTCCGCTTTCATTCCCACCCTTCAGGTCTTCTCCTCTTTACACATCTTTGTTCCTCCTCTTGTTCCTGAGCAATCTGTTGCAAAAAAGCTGCAATTTCAAACTCTGCTTTCACCAGATACTCCAATCAGAGCACAGCCACTTTCATGTCACTGGAGTGTCCTTCAGGATAAAATTTAATTTGAGTTTCAACCACCATCGACATGTACCCTCAAAGCTTTTACACCAACTGCCTTTTTTCTGAGTCTTCACAAACCATTGCTCTTCACCATCCATTGCTGCTCTTCTTCACCATTTCTTCCCCTTCCTAGTCTTCATCTGCAATGCAGCAGCTATACATAGGAAATAAATTATCAGAGACCAGTGTTTCCTGTGGGAGTCGCTACATCCAGACACCTAAGGGCATCCAGACCAGAACACCGTCTCCCTTTTCCGCAGTAACCTCTGGACAACCAGAAAACGAGCTGCAGGCCCAGAGACGGAAGACATCGTGTTCTGGACTGAGTCCTACAAACGGGGCGGCAGAAATGCTTCAGAAACCCCACTCTGGCAAAAATCAATAAGTCAAACAGCCGAGGTCAGATTGTGAATTACACAGATGGGAGCTGTGTTTCTCATAAATTGCCCTTGCAGACTCAGGTTTGGCAGACTGAAAGGAGCGGTTGAATAGGGTCAACTCAACCGGCCGCTTTTGTTTGCCAGAGTTTGAGGAACAGGGCTGCTGCTTGGTTTCAGTGTGTTCTTGTTATTTGGACCACCCTGTTATTTTAAGAAATCAATACCACAGACTCAATATACAAACAACAGAATCACAGGCACCAACAAATAAAAAGCTCAGCGGAAGCAAGGAACCAATCCTTCTGAGGATTCTGGCATGGGATTTTAGTTTGACATTTCCAGATGTTGTGGACTTTTTAATTTTTTTTTAAACTACAAACTACAAAAAGATCCTACCACACAAACATCTCATCGGAAAAACAAAGTTTTTAGTCTAACAACCACTCCAGGTGAGTCCTTTTGTAGTCATTTCATCTCTAACTACGTACTTATATGGTTAGACAAACCCTTTCATGCTTATGTATCTATTGTTCATTTGTATGTTTCTCTTAATACTAGAAGTATATTATCATCTGAAGACACATAGAAATGTATTTCCCTTGAGAGAAAACATTTTAATTACCATAAAAATAGTTTAACAAACTATTTTTTTAGTCTAGAGCTGGTCTACACGTGATTGATTGAATTCAAAACCATCTGTGTATTCTACCTACACAACATTTGTTATTTCCATTGGATTGGGATTCTGATCTCTGTTTGTGTCATTTCGGTCTTGAATCACCACAGACTGACCACTAATCAGGTCGAAATAACTTAAGTTATTGGAGACTTTTTTTCACAGTAGATTAAGAGTAAGTACTACTACTTTAAATTACCAATTATCAGAGTGGATACGAAGAGTCCCAAAGTGGTACAAATTGATGCATGGTTGGTATAAAATGTTGCGCAGCTCATCTTCGTACCGCACAATATCTGTGTATAAAATGAACACTGTGTGAGGATTGTGTAAGTTCTTTGTTTGTTACATGCACTTTTGTGATAAAATTTAATGTGCTGAATAACACCATCATTTTGGGCGGAGGGAAGGCAATTTTGTGTTACTGCGGAGCTCTAAGTAGTCGTTTACTGCAGAGTATTTTTCACACAGTCATGTAAAATACACTCCCACTGAAATAAACAAGCTACAAATGCTGCTAGAAAATGTTATTAAATGAACTGAGTAGAAATTTGGCACATCCCCATATCTGTTTACAGGCATCAATCATTCGCTGCCATGTAGCAGCCGCTGTTCTTCACTGCAAATAATCTTCCCGCACATCCCTGCAGTGATTTGGTTCCTCTCCTCTTGTGAGAAGATTGGGAAAAGAGGTCTTTGATGTTGCCAAGCTTCCTCTGCATCACTTTGGTCTTTTTTAGCTCCCTCAGATTCTCAAAGGATTTGTCTGCTCTTCGGCTGGATGCCTCTCATCGCTGGTCCTGAAGAACTAAATTATTAATTTGTTTACTTGTCATGCACATTGATTTTAATGACTTTATTCTTGTCTGAGTATAAATTTTGCATTGGCCTCGATCCATTCTCATTCCCCGAGATGGGTTCTCGGAAATGAAAATGGATTCTACATTTCATTTGTGCGCTGCTGATTGTAAACGCCCCTGTATTAAAGAGTTATCCTGAAAACTTGCTATTGAGCGCTGCAGATTAACCAGAGCATTTTTTGCAATACTCATTACAAAAATGTCATCCCACTGTGGGGAATTTCGGAACATTGCTCCTAGGGGACGGATGAAGCTATGGGCTATTTACTTTCTGCCCACTTTTGTTTGAAACAATCATTGGTCACTTGGCAGGATCCCTCATACAGCTGCCTGTGTTATTAGTCTCCTGTCCGGGGTGGTCCAAGTCGATCGCTCAAAACGTTTCTGTGCACTTTTATGACTCTTCAGCACAAACAGGCACAAAAACACTATAAGTTATCCTGCTAACTGAAGGCTCCATGTATTCCTCACGCATTTGCTCATTCAAGCATGAACACAATGGCACGCAAACAAAACAGTTTGTCACAAACTTTTTCCACATTTTGTCACTTTACAACCACAGACTTCACTGTGTTTTATTGAACTCTTATGGGAGAGTGGCAGGTTGAACATATGCATGTACAGCAGCTCTAGATTAGCTGCACAGCACAGGTGTAGGACAGGACGGCTATTAGAGATGCACTCCAAAATTCTGACTTTCATGGAGGAGTGGGAAGAATACATCCACTGTTGATAAAAAAAAAAAGTTATAAGAAATCCAATTTAAAGTTTGCCTAAGGCCTCGGTGGCGGCACAGCAAATGGAAGAAGGTGCTCTGGTCAGATGAGAGCAAAATTAAAGTTTTTTTTCTTGCCCACGTGTGAAACATTATTGTAGTGGAGAACTTACTTTGCACAGTACCCTGAACATGCCATCCCTACAGTGAAACATGGTGGTGGAAGGGATGATTTTCTTTAGCCTAGGCAGAGAAGCTGGTCTCAGTTGATGAGGATGAGGCCTGAAAAAGGCTTAAGACTGGGGTGAAAGTTCACCTTCCAGCAGTACAACAGCACTAAACATACAGCCAGAGATACAATGTATATCTCTGTCTTTAAATG